TTCAGCTTCAGCTACAGCTTCAACTGAGAGCGGTGCATCACGAAACGCTTTTTTTCAGAGGCAGCATCTTTGGACTGGTTGTGGTCTTTGACAATTATTTACCGTTGGCGCTTAACTGTTAATTTGCGAGGCAGGTAACCAGTTCGCTTCGTTTTGCTCCGACGAAGAGACGAGGACCTGTTCCTGTTCCAGCTGCACTGCATCCTCACCAATCTGCGGCGATTCCCGCCGACAATTGCTTACATGCCACGCATTTTTTATGGCTCTTAATTTGACAAACGGGGGCAGCAGCAATGCTTTTCCACATACAATACATGTGGAAAATGTAATTAAATGTTTTTCCTCTAACATCTGTTTCTTTCGCTGCCGTTTTTGTGTGCGCACTTTTCATTGTTCGAAAATAAATTACAGGATGAGAGTGTGCGAGGGGGCTATTAAACTGCAATTAAACAATTGGCAGTCAACAAGATTCATGGTTTTTCCATCATTCTCTCTTGGGGATAAAGAGTTGATTACCAATTTGCATGGAACGGCATTAGTAATTAAAATTTTGGAAAGTTTTCTGCAAAGAAATTCCCTTGAGTTTCAAGAGTTTCTGGAGTTGAACAAACCGGCCCATCTGATATCATCATCATTACCCGATTCACATAAACCAGAAATCAAATCAAATTATTTGTTTTCCTCTTTTTTGGCCGCCAGACTTTGATAATCTATGACAACTGGCCACAAATCGTTTCCTTTGTTGCCAGCAAAGTTGTCAAAAAGTCGGGCTAGATTTTTGCCTAATTCATTCAGCAAACTGTCCAAAAGAAACTTGCCAAACTTGTTGGCCCAGCCCAAAGCCCAAAAGAAAAAATGTGTGGCGAGAAATTTGAGAAGAATCCAAATGGAACGTAATCAGAATTCCCCAGATTCAGCTTCGGTTTTTGGTCCAACCAAGTTCTCTGTTCTGATTCCGTTTCAGCAATTTTTGCTTTATTTTTTTTTTTTTTTTTTGACCTTGCACTTGCACAACCAGAAAACAAGGTCAGCGTTCTACTGTCTAATGCCGTGCCAAACTAATTTTGAGGGTCAAGCAAGTTGGCCAAATTAAATGGAAAAAAGGCGCAGCAAGTCCCAAACGAGCGAAAGCTTAAAGAAAAAATTCGATTCAAATAAAACTCGAAATGAGCCGCAAGGAATTCAATTGTTCATTTGCATATGCATGCATTTTCCACCTGCAGTGTCCACCATCCACCACTCCCCATGTAGCGCTTTTCCCTCGGTTTTATTGCACGACCTCAATATTTATTTGTTTTCCTTTTTTTTTTTTGTTTGCCAGTTTCAGTTCGAAGTCAAAGCCATTCCGCCGGGCCCTCAATTTCATTTCCATTCCATGCCATTTTTCAACCTGACCAGTCGGCGGCATCTTCACGATTTTCACGGTTCTCTCCTTTTTTTGTTTATTGCGCGCCGCTTTTTTGGCCTTTTCGACTTATGTTTGGGTTTCGATTATTTTTGTTTTTGGTTTTTCCTGCACTTAGAGCGGGAATTGCATTTTGCCGCTTTCAATACGGCTGGCCCTTGGCCATTTGGGCATCAACTTTGGCAAATTGAATAAGAAACTAATTTCCAACAAACTGAAATATTTTTCATTGAAACAAGAGAGTTGGAGACTAGTTTATGCCCTTTAAATTTACGCTTTACGTCCCCAAATAAATATAATTTCTGTAAAAAGAAATGATTCAAATAGTAATGCTCTGCTGAAACAAAAATACATTTGTTATCTAATTTACGTTTTACAACTGACCCCTAATCACAGCAAATTAAATTACAATCCACTCATAAAATCCAGACTTTAGTAATATATGTGAATTAATATGACACTGATATTAGTTAGCACATTTATTTAGAGCAAAGACTTTTACCATTTCATATTTTTCACTCACAGCTATTCGTTTTCAAGCTAATTCCCATATACCCTCTAATTCGTTTGCAAAGCTCCACAAAAACAAACTCGCGCCAGAACTGTTTGCCAAACTACTGAAAAAGAGCGAGCCACACACAACAAGTTATCAGCGTTAATTTTGTTTGTTCAGGTTTACCAAGAGCAAACAAAAAGACCCAAAACAAAACACCACCACGAAGGGGGAAAAATTAATTTATTACTTGCAACTGGGACTATAAAAAGGGAGAGACTATAACGGCGGGAAAAGTACGTCTCGTAAACAGATTTAGATTTAATCAAATGATAGCCCAGAGCTAGATTTGAATTGTGAGCGGCTGCTGGATTTGGTAATGCACTCAATATATTTCAATGTGGCAGCTCGATTAAATATTTCCCAGCAGATTGGCAGGCTTGTGGAAAAATGGGAAAAATGTTTTGTGACCCGGGTCCTGAAACATGAGAAACGGCAACAGATTTAGCACCACACATATACGCCTGTGTCCTGCCCATGTTTTTAGTTGTATAAACTATCATCGTCAGATTGTACTATGTATATATGGGCATTTTTTTTCGGGTCACCAACGGGCAGCACACATTTTATTTCTCTCCTTTTTAGTGAGTGGCCCTTTTTCGGGGGAGATAATTCGGTTGCGTTGTGGCGGAAAATGAAAAGCAGAGGGCTAGAAAAATCGAAAATGTTACGCCTGAAAATTGCCTGTCAAATGACAAAAATGGTTTCAGTTTCTGAATGTGTGTGCCCCACCGCTTTTGGGCATTTTTCATGTCTAGGCCCACAACATGCTCCTATATTATATTTATTTTTTCTACTTTGTCCTTTTTCCGGCTGCTCATTTTGGTTGGCATCAGATTAGGGCCCACATTTTGCGGTCAAGAAGGGGGTGGTGAAAAGGCGAAAACTCAGGGAAATTCTTCCCTTCAAAAGCTATGGAAACTGAAAGAAATTGAATACAACATTTGTGGCAAATTTTTTGCTGAGGTTTGCCATGTCCAACAATTTGCTGGGAGCAAAAGTTTATCCATTTTTTTTTTGGCAAAGGACGCTCGAAGGGAAAATGGAGATGAGATGAGTCAAATTAGATCATAAATGATATTGCATGGAAAGTTTAAGGGAAATTGGCTGCGCTTTGAACCTGTAAAAAAGTTAGCTTGTTTTGGAGCAAAAAGTGTTGTCCAAACTTTCAAGTTTAAGTCTAGAAATTAATAATCCCTGCATAATGTGCACAAGAAAAGTTTCTGGCCTTTTTTATAACCTTTAAATACAACTAAATATGTTCTTCTGAATATGTAATACGTAATACAAGATCATTTTAGTTATAGGTTTAATATTTTCTCTGAATGCATTCAACAACTGCAACATCCTACAGCCCAATTCCTCATTAAATTCATTTGCACTTCCCCCGTTTTAATGTGGTTCGTTAGGGTAAAATCAATTTGAAATCCCCTGGGGGCTAAGCTGACTGCACTCGAAGGAGGAACCCTGAACCCTTTGGCGTTTCCTTTTGGCCACTGGACACACACATCTCACTGGTGGATTACGTTGCTTGCACGTTGGATATACGGCAATTACAAACTGCTTAAAAGCAAATAAATCCCTGCCAGGCAATTGCATCGACGATGGCAAAGGATAACGAGTATTTGTGCGGCGAATGTTGTCTGCAAATAAATATATATAAACATTTGCCGCTCCATTTAATGAGGCTGCCGGAAAGCAAAACAAGGAGAACATTTCAGCTGCTTGCAGCTCGTTATCGCTGGACAACGCGTATCTGTATCTGTACCTGTATCTGTATCTGTATCTGGGCGACATAAAACTGTCAAAAAGTCGCCTATATAAATCGCTAAACTAAATGCCTTTCATAGTTTAATGTCACCTCGAGGGATTTGAAGGAGCGAATGGATGGATCTATGGAAGAGCAGACAACGTGTCTCTATCCGAATCCAGCATCCACGCCTCGATGTCATTAAAACCGAATGAATTATGCAGTAGCCCAAGTGAACTACTTGCAGTCCGCCCTTGGAAAACAGAACAGAAAAGTGCACAGAGGAAAAACCAAGTATGGATTTCTTCATGTAACATCACTTTTCTAACATTTCAAATGTTAAAGAAAGCAAAGAGAATTAAATACATATCAAGGAATACTCAGAATTGTTTTCTTCTATTTCATTTGGTTTGTTACTGGAAAAAATTTAAAAAAAATGTTGTCTCTAATGTTTCATTCTATGTAAAGAAAAATCATAGTAAATAAAAATTGTTTCATACTCAATTTATTACATTTCTTTTCAGTATCGAAATTATAAGAATTTTTTTAATATTTCATTGGACTATTTTCGAAATGATTTCAAATATATAAAAATGTTATTTAAATGTAAACCATAATATTATTTATCTATAAAAATTTAACATTTTCTACATTAGCTCAAATGTTTTAAAATAAAATCAATAAATATAATATGGATTGTGTTTAAAACTAAAATGTTATATTAAAATGTTAAATTCAATAGCATGATATTTAGTTTTAGCTTTCCATTTTTGTATCTGTGTAGCGGACACAAGAGACCCACTGAAAAGGACCAAAAAGTAAGGTAAAAAGAGGACCATTGACGCAGTTGACCAGTTCTTGTCGCGACTGCAGTTTGTTTGTTGTTTTAATTAACTAATTAAGATTTTTCTATGTCGCGCCTAGGTAGGAAAAAAAGCAGTCGCCCAAGTCTAAGGAATGCCTGCATTATTTGTAGCAGCAGCCGAGTTGCTAAGGACCCAATTAACCTTTTATGGCCATTTGGCACAATAACGAGGCCAAGAGCGAGAGCCAAGAGACCGACAGCAGGGCACACAGAAAAAGTTAAGAAAACTAAATAAAAGGCAGCTACACAACACAATCGAGACAATGAGACCTGGTCTCTTGGCCAGTTAGTTGGCCGTAAGTAGCCGGCCATGTTCAGTGAAATTGTTAGCCATATTTGGCTTTGGCGCACAAAACAATGGCTATCATAAATTCCAGCTACAAATTGACATTGAAAATTTGTTTGTTTTTCCCTGCAGTTTGCTCACCTTTGCATGGGTTTCCTTGCCCGCTTCCTGGCTTCCACTCTTCGATGCGTGACCACAAAAGCTGCAATTACAAAAAAATATGCAAACAGAATATTAGCTAATGCTTCGATAAATTTCCCACTATCAACAAGATAATGTAGTGCTTGTAGTTATAGATTACAATGTATTTAATTATTTTTGTAAGGCTATGAATTTATGACACTGGAACCATATGTTTCTAGTGGGAGTCACACTTCCGCTTCGGTCAGGCACATGGTAAATTTCCCAATATAATAAAGGGTTTATTTTTGGTTTGCTTATTATGCTGAATATGAAATTAATGTTCAGAATTTATTGCCATAGAAATATTATATTATCATTTTAGTGGATTATATACGGTGTGTTTCTAACATGGTTAGATTTTGTAACGAAATTGATAAAAGTTAATGAAATTAAATTAATAAGAACATTTTTAATTCTGGTTAAATTTTAAGATCACAAATACCTTGCATATCGACTCTCAAACTTAATATTATGTGAATATAATTTTGGATACATTCAATAACAGATATATTTTATATTTTTATATTTTTCAATTACGCTTCAGAAAATTGTCTGAAACAATATTTTCTATACTTATCGGAAGCTAATAAAATCGGGCATGCAGAAAAATTCCTTAAGCACCATTTTTGCCTTCAAGATTCCTAAATGTTTTCCAAACATTTTCGTTTTGGGTCACTGGCTAATCAATATGGTTTAGTGTCCCCCAACGGGGTTTTCCGACATTTTCTCTCCTCCACTTTACTTGGCTTTCTCTTGGGTTCAATTCAAACGCCCACATACTATGTATTATCGCATATTTTTCCTGCTTTTTGCCATTTTTCCCTGTGCCAAACCGGTTAGGTGTTGGCCGTTGTCTGCTGATATGCAGCTACTTCAAGGTACACGAGGACAGACAACTTGGCAGAGAACTCCGATCCAATCGCATGACGAAGAGCAATATGGTGTGGGCAGCAGTCGTGTGGATGTGAATGTAGATGTGGTTGTGGCTGTGGATGCGGTGACCAACTCACCCAAATAGGTGGGCAAGCTACCGTCTCGACGACACATCGGTGGGCTAATTGAAATGGCAACACTAATTAGCGATGCTTTAAATGCAGACTGCATTTCCCCTGGCAACACACACACACACACAATGTTGTCTAAAAGCCAGATAAAGCCAAAGCAGATGCAGATGCAGCTCGAAAACAAAACACAGAAGCGAGAACAAAATGTTGTGGCGATCGACTTTAAGCTACTTACAGAAATTGACCACCCAAACTGTTGCTGAAAACCTCGATGGCAGTTCATTAAGGTAAATGGTGGTCCATAAACTTTAAGCCGATTACAAGAACGATTCCCAGTTGCCGAAAGGTAACCCAGCTCACTCTCTGCTCACTCCCAAAACAAATGGCGTAAATTATTTGCTAATGATCGACGGACAAAGTGCTGGGCTTACGTCATGGGGCTATGTGGCTATCATCATCATCATCATCACCAGGTATGGCAGTTAATTTTGTGCAATTGTCTTGAACCGTTTTGAGTGGTCAATGCTATATCCCGCATAATCATCGATGAGCGAAGGTCGTGTGGCCTTAACTACACACGCGATGCTTCTTTTGAGTATTAACTAGAGATGGAGAGGGAATTTACATAGCTGGCAAACCAGTTATCACGGGGTTTCGTCATCATAGCTGCTAATATTTTGCCTTACACATTACAGAGAAATGAAGTTTATTTCACCAAAATACCATATGATTACAATGCAATAAAAATGGCAGAAAGACAATAAAAACCGAAAGATATAAAAATGCCTGACTCAGGTTGTATTTGCCTCAGAAACATTCGAACTATTTGCGGAACTACCATGGGCTGGAATGCCCTATACCCTTCCCTCCCTTCGAAAATCCCCCCACTTCAGGGATTCCAAGGGACAAGACTCCAACTCCAGTGTTGTTGTCGTGTCAGCAGCATCCGGGGAATGCAAACTGCAGGTTTGGCGAGGAGATGCAGTCCAGAAATTGCAGAATCATGCAATTTGTGGGCACTTCGAATGCAATCAACAAAACTGTTTGATTTATGATCATTTGCAGTTTGCACTAATTTTTCAAATCACAAAAGGCAGCAGCAGCAGCAACAATAACAACAACAACAACAAAGCCCGCAAAACCTGATTCGACACAAAAATTAATCATAGCTCTGAGAAAGGATAGATAGCGACCGAAAGGAAGCAGACATGAAGGATGGGGCCAAAGGAATCATTACAATCAATAACTAAAATCGATTTGGACCTTCAAAAGCATTCAGTAGCTGTCCGGCTTAAAACAGAAATGACCTCGTGACACGAAGAGGGAAGTAGGCGAAGACCTATTTTTTAAATTAAACCTTTTAACGAAAGCGACTGTGGATTTCCTTAAAAACTTTTATTTAAGTGGTTAGAGTATTGATTCTAAATGTATAATATTTTGTGAATTGATAACTGAAAACATATTTAAAACTAAGATAGTAAAAAAAAAAAAATACTATAATAGAAACATAAAATTTTAAAAAATTGTATATTTATCAAACTTTAAATAAATTTAAAGAATTAAAGTTCAGTTACCTCATTAAAAATATATTTAACAATTAAAAATTTTTTTATCCTCGAAAATATTTATAATTTTACATGAGCTTTTTATAAAATATGCCTGCCATTTTGTGAAAACCCTAAAATCGTGCTTCGTGGGCATCTCTCAACGGAGACGCCCGGGCCAAGAGTTAAGAGTTGTAATTATGCGCCGACTTCCTCTAGAACCGGGGGACCATCCCACTTTTGGGACCCTAGGGCCAGCCCCTTCTGGCAGCCCCTTTTTTGCATTGTGATAAACGAGCAGTCCCCTTGTCTAGACTTTGGAGCGATCGCCTCTTTACAACATCTTCATTATGAATTATGCGCTTCGCAGTTTCCCAGCTTTCTCGGTTCCCCAGTTTCTCATTCTCGTTCTCGTTCCCATGGGACATAATTTTTGTTTTATCACCCCAAACGAGGCAAGGACTTATCTCCGCTCTCTTGAGAGCTCAAAGTTTTGCCAACATGTTGCAACTAATTACATAAAGCAACACGTGCACTTTGTAATTTTATTTGTTACAACTCGAAATTAGCATGAATTTGCTAATTAGCTGCGATTGTAAAAGTTGCAGGCGAGGCGTCGGCGATATGTAGTTGTGACGACAGCGATGGCCTCGAAGAGTTGTGTTACTGCACTTTCCTGTATCTGCGTATCTGCGTGAGTGGGTAGCAAAGTAACTGTATCTACAAGTTTGTCGTTTCTACCCACAACCTAAAGATAATTTACAGTTTCAATCTTGCGTATAGTTAACTGGAACTTGCAACACACAGATTACAGGAAAGAGAATTACTCTGATTTCCAAGAAGCAAGTTTTAATCAGTAGTAAATTGATATTAATATCTATTCATTTCGGGAAATTTGCCAACCATTTGTTAGCCCAGGGTTCACGTATCTTAAACATTCTATTTCCTTATGAAGGCAATTAATTTTATTTAAACACCTATATTCTAAGAAAATTCTATCAACCATTCTGATTGGATAAGATTTATTTTTATTAATTAAGGTTCGGGGGTTAGCAACAAGTAAGATTAAAGAATAACTTATTTCAACTAGATAAAACATAAAATAAAAAGATTTGCAAAGACTTGTTTAAAAAAATAGAGGTTCAGGAAAATAAACACCAACTTTAAGATATTTTTGATTACCTATTAAACTCAAACCGTTTTGGAAGTTTAGTTATCTCTATTCGTTTATCTAGTTTTCTGTTTTGCTGCGATATATTTAAACTGAAAATACTAAAACGCCTTGAATTTTAGCCGATAGCCCAATCACAGACTTATCGCTTTTCTATAATCAAATAGAAAAAAACAAAATTAAAAACTAATTCTGGCGTCGTATCAATAACAAAAAGAATTCCATAAAATAGCTTGACAGTTTGACACACTATCGAAGGCAAAATCGAAAGAATAATCTGACTGATGGGCCACGTGCAGTATACTTTGCAAAAACACTGCAAATATTGAGATATACATTCACATGCTTGTAAATTCAATGCACTCGATACAGCAATTATTTGCCCACATTCATTACGGATAACAAAACAGAATATTTGCACCTTGCCGCAATTCTTTATCTCGCTCTTCACCTCCCCCTCATACCTTTTGTACATTTTACATTTTCCATTCATTATACACACATATACATACTTTGTTAACAAATATTTGGCCATTCGTTGCCAAAAATGTTTACATTTACGTATTTATATTCATGCAACTGCTGTGCAAAGCGAGTTTTTTCTGCATCGTTCCTTGCGTTGTTGTTTTTAGGGAGAGTTATGCATATCAAAAAATTGACAAAAATAATTTTACAAATGAATTTTCACAATCGCTCTTGTGCATCCCATCGGAAAAATAGATATATACAAAAGAACTCACAATTTTCAAAAAGAATGGCTAGCAACAGGGTTAAAAAAATTGACCTAAATAAATATAATAAACATTTATCGCATTTGTTCATTGTTGATATCAACATGGCAAAAAAACTAAAAATACCTACAACAAGAAAGAAAGCAAACTTCGGCAAGCCGAAGTTCATATACCCTTGCAGCTATTGCATGAATTAAATACTTTTGAAAACATTTAAATTATGATTTACTTGAGTATATGCTGAAAAACATTGAAACTATGATGATTTGCAGCTCAATTATTATATAGTTATTTTATATATTTTTATTATTTCTATGGGAGCTATATGATATAGACGTCCGATTTTGATAAAATTTAAACCATAATTCTGAAATAATTAAACATTGCTATATGTCGAAGAACTAAACAAAAAATTAAAAAACAGAAAAGTTATAATTTTTATACCCTTGCAGAGGGTATTATAATTTCAGTCAGAAGTTTGCAACGCACTGAAGGAGACGTTTCCGACCCTATAAAGTATATATATTCTTGATCAGCATCACTAGTAGAGTCGATCTAGCCATGTCCGT